TATATATATATATATATATATATATCACCTGAAGCCTTTGGATTAGGCACTTCCAGTCTCATTGTCCTCTTCGACGAATTGCAGACATGGCTGAAAATTTTGTTTAAGTATGATTACTATAAACTCCAATGTACTTAGAGGCTGAGAACGAGCTTGTTCCGCTTCAATTATGTGATTCCAAGGTCGGAAAGTTCACTAGTAAACCAAATAGTGAAGCAACCGAATTTCCATACGCTCCTTCCGAGTAAATCAACACCCTATACACATTCTGTTGAATAAGACGGTGCAAAAACGTAAAAACCTGTTTGGGAGTGAAGTTCTACTTATTATGTCACAAGTTTTCTCATTTGCGTGTACGGATAATTGACGTCTCATAAAGTGTTGAAAAACTATTCCCTCGGATGCTCAGTTATTGTTGGTTCGAGACTCAGCAGGTGATCAGACAGGGTTTTCAGTGAAGGACCCATAGTAAGCTTTATGAGCTACCTTTATCCCCAGATACCTTTGACTTTTATGCTGACAGGCAATGTACTAACCAAAGACAAGTTTGCCCTTTTGACCATGACTAGAATGAGTCACACAAACTGCATTTCGTCCCTAGACAGCGATGGAATTTGTCTGAAATTCTCTGAAGGCTTCGACTAGCGGAGCAGTTTTCAAGAGTGTGAAAATCGTTTTGTAGTGAAAACTTCATAAAAGAGAATTTAAACTGGGTTTCAGAACCGAAATTGTCTGCAAGTAAGTGCATTTATCCTCGTCTTCAACTGCACTTTTTAGAGGAAAGTGTCCATTGCTGGTGACCTGTCGGCAGGCAGATAGGCTTGATCTGCGCTTGTGCCACACATTGCGGATACGACAACCGAAGTCAGCCAAAACCTCAATTTGGTCACACTTTCTGGCACTAATAGCAGAAACACACTCTAAGTACTTTCTTCTAATTCGATTATAAAGCTGGTGTTTTCAAAATTTAGAAACTATGCAGGAAAGATTCCCCCCTGAAAAGAAACAACTCGTTGATCAAGCTTATAATATTTGCCTCAAACTTAATCTGGTATTCTGGAATGTACATACGTCTACCTGAGGCCACCAAAATGAGGTATTCAGAAAAGGTCGTCAAAATTTCTTCTCCATTTTGAAATCAATCGCGAGAATTGGGCTACTCACCATACGACCATCGAAAGTGTAATCTGTAACAATTTAGGCATTCGGGCCATGGTGCAAGTGTGATGTTATGCAGTGTGTGATTTTGATGACAAGAGTTTTCCGTTTAACGTCGTTGGAGAAGATTCGAGTTGACACACGTCGATACTGTTTCTTCATGTGTAAGTCTGCCTGTTATTCTGCTGGTCTAAGAAAAATCGAGTATCATTAGGCGCTTTTAGGAGCAAGTCGGGCGTGAACTGAAATGCACGCCTTTTCACCACTGGAAATGCTCGAGCCAATTTTGGTTCGAATTATGATGTACACTATCCATCCCTAATCCCAAGACCTATGTGCATAGATGCACGAGTGTACAAGTGAACTGTACGAGAAACATCAGCTCAACTGAAGATGGTAAACCAGCACTCTCTAAAAGAGTAACTCAGCCCTAATCTTTACCTTTTGCAAAGAGTGACCGAGGCGCCCAGTTTTGTGAAAGGCATGGTATATCGGTTAGAGTTCTGATGCATATCATGATAATTGAGTGTTGAGTAGTGTGTGTATAGTCGGCGTAATAAATCTGATCCGCGGTGCTTGAATCAACCAGATCGACATGTGATAGGGAGTCAGTTGCCTAGACGTGACGTGTGTATTAAGCAAAACATCAACGTCATTCTAATCTTCTTGCTGACACATCACTCATAAGGTTCCGGACACCGCCAGCCAGTTAGGTCCTTCTTGAGACTCGTTTGGTCGGCGTAGTTCCAGAGTTTACAGCAATATTTTGAACATCAAGATCTTGAAACCACCCACAATCAAATTAAAGCAGTGAATCATCAGGGGTAAACAATGGTTTTATACTGCCAACGACGATGATTTGCAGATTGATTTGTTGGGAACAAGGAACTCAACTGAATCTATTCAGCAACCAAATGAGTAGTACATTAAACCCCGAATATCGTTCTATAACAAATGCATGAGGCGGCCTTTCTGTAACACATTCAGACGAAAGATATCCCAGACAAGTTTTCCAGCTGAGTTCCTCGTTCATACCAAAGTAGTCTACAAATGGGTACTTTTCACCGATTGACCCAATTCATTCAGTTTCACCAATCATAGTTGTCATCTCCCGTTGGGTATGTTACAAAGCAAAACAGGCTACGTAAATCTCAAAGTCTGTTTTTGGTGGACTTTAGTTGCAGAGTGAAAGGCGTGTTGATAATTTTGTGACTTAGGCTGGTACGGTGAAGCGGAGCCGCCAGCAAAAGTTATTTTTTTATAAGGTGACCCATCGGTCTGATTGTGGTGAGCACGGAAGCCAACCGACACTCTAGATGAATCACTTACGTCAGTAGATTTGCCCTATATCCCACGCCACTGTCTACCAATATCACATTACATTGTGGCAACCTTTCGATTATCCAATACACACGGAAAAGAACACAGGATATGGGGCCGGATATAATGGACCTTGCTAACACACGCTACGGTTGTTTGTTGTTCGAAGCTGTGGGTAGAAGAGTTTCGTTCACTTCAGCAAAAAAGCAAAAAACACTGACTAAAAAATCAGAAGAAAACGAGGAAGTTAACACATTTCATGTATGGAAAATCTAGTTTGAAGTACGAGTTTATTGCTTATTCCGGGTAAACGAAAGCTTAGGACATGCATATCCAGTTACCTGATTACCACAATCACCAACGGTTTGATAAGATATGTAGTGTTTTCTACTTGTAAACGGATGAAAAGCCGTCTGTGAAAGTTACGACTGGAGAGATGCTTTCTCACTTTTTATACAGACCGGGTAAGTAGCCACTTTGGTGACTGTCCCAACGCCTTGTACGAGCGTACTTTCAGACTTGGTTTTTTATGCTTAGATCACGCGCATCATTTGTTACGGTCACCAACATGCCAATTTCACTGGTTTAAATTTGCCTCTGAAGACAACGACCGAGTCTGAATGATTTTTTCCAACAAGGATGACCTGGACTAGCTATCTTTGACGGCCTGACCAGACCAGAAAGCTGTGTACAGTGTAACTCTTCGCAATTGTTGCCTCACATTTAACAACCGAGAACCTTCTCGCTTTCTATACGTGAACTTTAGATGATCAAAAAACTGACCGAATCCATTCGTGCTCGTTTCAGTGGCTAGTTTGACTGAGGTATCTTCTCAGCGCAATGATTAGAAGTGGAGCACACTGAAACAGTGCTCTGAGAATAACAATTTGCATGATGTTCCTGAAATGAAATGTAAAGACGATGATTCTTAGTTGCCATGGGATGTGGTGAACCGTCATCGGTTAAATAACTACTAGACTGAGCGGACCGGCCGCACGATCAGTCATAACATAAGTGTGGACCTCTTAGGTTATCAGCTTGTCAACAACTAGCCGACAAATGGATGAGAGTTGCAAAAAACGTGCAACAATTAGCCGCACGGTCGTTGGTTTGTTCGCTAAGTTACCTCTATGGTTGACCACATGTTTCTTCTTGCGTGTTTGACGTATGAATACATTCGCATTCGGCCTCAAACTTCATCTGTCCAACCAAATATGCTTGGTGTTATTATTTGGCGAGGGGTCTGTTCACGCAGTAGAACAGGCTGTGTAAATAGTCGAGAAGCTCCTGGCTGGCTGGACGTGTGACCACAACCATCACGTGCGTTATCTTTGTTGCACCCCTGCAATTTGGAAAGAATATGTGTTGTCCAGCGCCAGCAGAAGACTGTCTGTCAGTGTCAACAGTCGTCTTCTCACGGCGTTTTCACCTGGACAGATTAGGACAACATCCGGATGGGTAATCACTCCTATTTTATCTACTATTCTCACCACAATAGATATGAATCAGAAAACACACTACTGCTTACAATGTAGTCTAGATTTTCATGTTCTAAGTAACCGTGTGAACTTATTTGCACATTTGTCAGTACTGGAGACATTTTGAGATTAGTCTGTGACGTTTTAAGACGATTTCCGTTTGTACGATATTGTAATCAGTGAAGTTACGGGTGACTGGGCAAGGGTAAGGTAATCAAAATAGATCACGTAACAAAATTATCAATGTCAATTCAAGTGTTGCATGAGCAAACAAGTATACGGGGGTAAGTGCAATTCTGTACAATATTTATGACAGTAAATCGCACAGACTGGGCGAGATTTGAGGAAGCACTTTTGTGAGTGGATACATGGGCTATTCCATCCGAAAATATTTGGTCAACTCGATACACAGTCACTGTTTCATAGGCCAGGGATGTGACTAGAAAACAGGTTTTTTCACTCTGAAATATTCTGTAACCAGTTAATCATAAAAAATGACACAAAATTCTGTTCACCGTAGAAGGAGAATGTGGCAGAGTGAATTTGAACGTTGCTCAGGCAGCTCATCCATTTAAACGAGAAAATTGAATCCGTACATGAGTAGGGCGGACAAGAGACCGGATGCTGGAACGGTGACCAACCATGCAATCAGAATATTTCGAAATATTCCCCAATTAACTCTGTCTCGCCCTTTCGCTCTCCCGACACCCACCACCGACCCAACTTTACAATGCGTTGTGGAGATGGGCAATCCGACCTTACTGGCAATCAACACCGTTAGGGCCGCGCCGATTTCAATGCAAACGCCGCTAAATTGAAAGTTGAAAAAGGGTTGACAGTGCATTATGAATGCAGCACAGAATTTAATCACAAAAGCCTTTCCAAAAAACCCTACTGTAGACAAAGTTTACGTGGATAAATTCCGTCCAGGATTAGCTCTCAAGGACCTAGTGGAACAGCTGGCTACTGGTAAAGACCTTTGAGTGAACTCCAGTAAATCTGTTGCACTCGCTGGCCAAAAATAATTCAGATTTAAAACAATGTGTCACAACTGGCGTGGCACAGAGAGTAACTTTCAGGCGCCCGCTTAATACCAGGAGGAGAGAAAACTCCAATCAAGCGCAGTATGCCTTCTGTCAACTACATTTCTGTCCCTAAAAATCCTAAAGAGAATATAATCATATTGCCTTCTACAGAAACAAAATTTTATGCTCACGATCAAGAAGCTTCGAACAGAAAATGTATCTGGGATAAAAGTTACTTTCTTTGTGAAAGTTTAACAGTTGCGTACTCCGGAGCATTTCTAGTGTCGGTGATCAACGGACACGCAACAAAACGCCTAGTTTCACAAGCTAGCCACACCAGACACTACTGAGACCAACAAGGAATCGGTAAATGCAAAAGCTCTGTCATTTACAGTCGTGCTGTCTGGCTGAGAGTCGTTACAACTGTGAAACCAGTTTATTCTCGCACCTCTGATGGCCGAATTCACAATAAGTGAGCAAACAAGCAGTTAACAGAGGAAATAAGGAGTAGGTTAGCAAGTAGATGAGCAAATTAACAAGTAAGTGGACTCCTGAGTGTGTGTGTGTGTGACTAAGGAATTAGTCAGTACAAATTACACATCTACTCACAACTCTATATTCACTTTCAAACGCCACGTGGTCCAAAGCTGACCATGAATAGCTATTATCATCATCGACAGCATGACTTCAGTGTTCAGCACCGATCTTCACTGCCGTAACACCAATGGGTCACTACCATGCATGGCCAATGGACATCGAATAGTTTCATTCCTGAATCTGAGCTCTAAAGTGTCACGCACCAGCGCAAAGTAAACAATATTTTAATCTCGTTTACGTGACACCATCCACAGAGTTGATGAGAATTCTTGACTTTAGTTACTTGATACGTGTTTTCTCGGGCTACCCGGGGAATGAAATTCTCTTCGTCAACACGTTAACGCCAACGGTCAAGGACGACAAATTTACCCCCAACTTTCTCGCATGTGTATGGCTCTGATAGACAAAAGAGTGAGCATAACGATGAGAAGTTAGGTATTCTTCTGGTGAATGTCAGCGCGCTGAGGAATTCGGCTACGTATCTTTGTTTTTCACGCCAGCGCCTCACGTATATGACCCTGGTCATTCGATAAAAGTTAAAACGAAGATGATTACTAGAAAACTGACCAAGTGCATAGATGGAGTATTTCTTTGGTTGATCTCAGATTAGCTTCTGCAACGCATATTCTGTATGAAGTAAAATAGGCGCAAGAATATGCAGCAAATCAGTAGCTCGAAAAACGCTGACTGAAGTGCCGACCACACTCGCAACTCACCCCTTGAAAAAACGCTTTAGGTAGAGGAACAGATGTGTTATTGAGTGAGAATGCTGGCAAGGAGTTAATCATTTACCCAGACCCAAATTTGTTTTCTGTTGGTGATATACATATGGCTGCGAAATGCTACCGATTGTTCAGAAACATCGATGAAAGTGATTTTTACTCGACACTTAACAAACATGCAATACAACACAATTATCAGACTTCTGGGTATTTCCAAGCAGAATGAGTAGGCTCCAAACCAAGTTCCACTGTTGGGGATGTGCTACACTCTCTTACTTTGAGATGCACTGAAGCTTTTCACAGGATGTTTCGAGAAAATATTCAGGACCACTTGATGGGAAATATGTACGATCTTTTTGGCTCACTGAAAATGTATCTCTTCTCAGAATACTCCTCTGAGTTGTGCTTCATTGAGAAAGGGTGATACTGCAGACTACTAGATGAATCGAGATCGCCGACTCATAAGCTGTCAGTCAGATTTTGCTGTTCATTGCTACGCTCTGAGCGTTGCGTCTCACAGAGCATGCAACTTTGCTTTTCGCAGTTGTCAACTCGTCTTCAAACAACCTAGTGGTTACGAAATTATAGTTTTACCATAGAAAACCGCAGGTTTTTCGAGTAGGCTAGTGAAAAAAGATGAGATTGCTATATAAAAGTTTGATGATTCAACAATATGGGACTGAAAACAGCATCCTTTAGACTTTTCCGGTTCGCATTCGGAAAGAGCATGAAAACGCTGTCACCAAGTTGTCTGATACAGTGCGCCATCAAATTGACCACAGTCGAATAGTCCTTTGTGTGAATTTGGGGCCAGGTTGAGATTGGACAAAGAGGATTCAGTTACGGTCAATAGACAGGCCCGATTGATTGCATTTCAGTGAGTTGACCGGTTACAGGTTACCATGGCTCTTTAAGAATGCTTGCTTCCGCAACATCATGGAATCGTCGGCGCATAACAATCAACGGTTTTAAAGTGTGGTTGTAGTGAATAAAACATACAAATGGAAACCGTTTTGTTGAAATTTTTTCACTTGAACTGAATATCCCTCCCCTTATGGACGTATCACAATTGCTGGTAAAAACTCGGGAACGTTCGTTGGTAAGCTGATTGCAGGGAATTCATCAGTAATCGACATGTTGTCAGGGCACGGAGTGAAGTGTAGCTATGAGTCAGTGGTTGTGCCTTGAATCGTGGTGCATGTAGGTCAATTATGTCCTGCTAGCCGGAGCTAATCATTGATCACCGTTGGTTTTTCAGTCTGGCAGTTCTATTGGTTGGTCTGTTGTCGTGGTCTTGATTGGTCCGTGACCGTTTATCTTTGAACTTGGTCGCTCCTCCTCTCGTCCTCCCGTCGGTACTGGGACGACTTCTTTCTTCGAATACTCAGGATTCCACTTTGTGATCTTCGCTGATCTGACTCCAACGAGTTTGCTAATTCGACAGTCGTCTGTTTTTAAATATTCCTGTTTGTGTATTGGACAGTCGCACGTCTAGTTTGACCCACCCGTGCGACGATTGAATCAGAAACTAACCAAGTCGCCAACTGAGTACAACGGAACAAAAACTTTCAATTAAAGGACTGAACTTCAAATCCAAGCACACGTACCACAATGATCACTTAGTCAGCTTGAAATACGCTTTGAAAACAACTAGAATGTCCGTTGAGTTTCAAAAACAGATCTGACAAACAATCTTACTGATGGTCATACGGAGAAAAAACAACCAATTTTCGAACAAGTACGAAGCGCACACAGAAGCTTACAAACGGATAAAACAATCGTAATGTTACCGATGGGAAAAGACAGTGGCAGCAAACAAAGCGATGTACGTTGGAACGACCCGAAACTGCCAAGTGGCACGTCTATCCACAGGTCAATCAGTCGTGACCCCACTTCAAAAACTCATCTGTCTAATCAACATGACTCTCAGAAACACCAAAACACACACGAAATGATGGGAATCAAAGCCTATGACACCAATATTGCGCAATCATACAAGCTACCAAAAGTATACAAAGTAGAAAGTCCAACTGGACAAATCAACTCACTTCCGGAAACTCCATTTTTAAATTAACTAGAGACTTTTGGATGAGAGTTAAATGCCCTTTTACCGGGTTGGAACAAACAACCAAAAATACTGGCCGATTTCTATGCAAACTATCGGACGTCAATTAAAAGGATGACGAAGTCATGCTTTCGTTTGACGTCACATGAATATTCACCTAAATCACCCACAAGCTGGCCGGAGACACAATGACGATATTGCTTCGGAAGAATCCAAAAACACGATGAAAACCATGAAATCCGGAAGTTTCTACAGTTTTTTGGACTTCCCCGTGGATACATATTTTGACTATGACGGATTATTACATCAACAACTGAAAGGGACTGCGATGGGATTTCCACATGAAGAAATATTGCTGAAGTCGTAATGTAAAAAGCAGAGTGTGCAATATTACCGACTGTCAATCTGAAGTTATTGGTCCGTTACGTAGATGACACTCATGTTGTCACGAAAAGAATATCAGTACATAATATTACTTTCGAAAAACAATACTATGTTTACAACTGAATCTGAAAGAGACAACCGACTACAACAGCTGGACGTTTAAGAGAATAGAAAGGTGCATGGGATGCTTTCGTATACCGAAAATGAACACACGAATAAAATACCGCAATACAATAGGAACTATCCACTAGACCACAAGACGGGCAGCCTTCAAGCCGTATTCCAGAGCGCAGAGATATATTACAGCACCACACAACTGAGAAAGAAGAAAGACAAAGATCTCTCCGGAGTATTCCAGAACAATGAATATCCGAGGAATATTGTTGAGAGGAACTTGAGGAAGGTGTCAAAACAACAGTAAAAGCAAGGACAAGCGAACACAATGGTAGATATTCTGTGAGCTAAGATTACATCTGAGCTTACAATCAGGTGTTTAGGTCAGAAAGAAATTATTGCAGCCCAAAGCCGAACGTCGCTTCATAAAAACTGATTTCAAGAACAAAGGACATCACTGGCAAACCAAAAGAAACGATATGATATACCGAATCAAGTGCAGCAACTGCAAAATATTCTGTGTTGAAGAAACCAGCAGGAAATAATATGTACGAGGACAAAGACACAGCGCGATCATCATCACAGAGGACTCTCAAACATTGATATCCATACATGACGACCAAGAAGGCCACATATTCAATCTGAGAAGCGCAAACAGTATGTTGGCACGCGGAGACACGAAACAAGGAAGGAGATTTCTGGTATTGCATGACGAATTCGGTCAACCGACTAGTTGAAATACATCCATCCAAAACGTACAAAGGTAAAACATCACAAAAATACTCAAAAACAGACGACTATCGGATTAGCAAACTCGTTGATCAACAAAGGTCACAAAGTGGAATCCTGAGTAGTCGAAGAAAGAGGTCATCACAGCATCGACGGGAGGACGAGAGCAGAAGCGATCAAGCTCAAAGGTACACGGTCATCGACCAATCAAGACCATGATAACAGACTAACCAATAGAACTGCCAGACTGAAAAACCAACTGTGATCAAGGATTAACTCCGGCTAGCAGGATATATATTAACCTACGCTACTCAATACACAACCACTGACCCATAGCTACACTCTGTTCCGTTCCCTGACAACATATTGATAAGGTCACCTCGATTGGTGAGGGCACTTTCACTCTTAAGTTACCCAGCTTAGAGACCGGAACCGATGAGCATCTAAGTTACTTGAGCTACCAGCATTCTCAGCAGTTGCTACTCATGAGGATTGTTATGGGGCACACACTTCAAACGAAGGATTACACGGCCAGTGAAAATTCCATGACCTCACCGGGTTCGTTTCAAGAAGCGGTTGAAATGTATGACCTATTTCATGTTTTTTTCAGTAAGAACGAATTTCGAGTTGTGTAACGTGTAGTAGCTATTTTGATCACACCTAAACTTGCCTAAGTGAATATTTGGAGGTGTAGGCAACTCAGAATGATTGTGCTAATATAGTACCAAGTCCCTTCCCCGTCCACCTTTATTTTCTCAAATAAACCATAGTTGTACGACAGTGAAGCATCGGTGTTGAACATTGATTTCATGCTGTCGGCGATGATTAAGTGGTTTAGAAAACTTTATCCTGGGGTTCTTGAAGCACACGTTTGAAATATTTAGGTTGCTTGTCCAGAGTGGAAGCATTTGTCTCACAGACGACTAGAACGTATCGATCACGATTCTCACTAATCTGGTTATCCACTAAGTTTCAACACATGGCTTCACAAAACGCAGTGTAATCCATGAGAAGTTGTTTCGACTGCGACAGCTGTTCAGAATTCCGTATTTCCCCAGAATACTTTTTGCTGCAATGAACAAACACAAGTTTACTGAACCCGCAGGACCTGCACGGGAATCACCGTAGTAGTCCCTCATCCGAAGAAAAGTCCTTTCTCTGAAGAGTCAAGATCAGAACGGACTATGCGACCACACTGGGGATGATATCTCCGTTCCCAGGAGAGATCAGGTGTCTTTCGTTACCTAGTTTTATGGAGTCATTTATGTCTTTGGCGATTTTTACGCTGAACGTGCCATTAACATCCATTTTGTACCATATAAAGATACTAGAGTAACCAGCGATTTACTGTAATGTGTGCCTAGTTTTTTTTAGTCCGTGTTTCATGGATGGAGCTTAGAAGTCAGAGTTCTCTTAGCCTTAACCATAGTCCTGGCACTAACTGGCCTAACAGACCGAGTTGGGTTGCGACCAGATGAACCATTGACCGTGGAGCCACTTCAGGACTGGATAGGCTTCTCAATTTGAACAACTTCCGAGTTGGCTGCTGGTGAATGCGGTGCTCTGACAAACGAAAATTCATCTAGTGTCCATTTGGACATTCCACAGCACATTCTACACAGGCTTTTCGAAACAGTAGAGGCTATATACACGGAAAGTTGAAAAACCTCTTTACCCACAGTGATGTCGTTTATAGACTACTGTATTAATAATTTCAATCAAAGCTTAACTGCAGATTGCATTGCTGAATAACGACATTAGGGACGGAACTAATACGACTTACGTAGACGGTGTGATCTGAGTCAAATCTTCACCCAGTGTCTGTATTACGCGGCGACCCCATATCCAGAGTCCAATAGCTATACCAAATCCTCCATAGATGAGGATCCATAAGGGAATGGGCATTTTGGAATTAACCGTCTGAGTGACACCGACAATCCAAAGACCAATCAAAGGCCCAATGGCATTACTGAAACGAGCGACAAAAGGTAATGCTGAAAGGACGGACTTGTGGTTCCCCCAAAGGAAGCAAAATCAGTGTTCTATACGGTATAACAACTGAAGTGCAACGGGGTTTCGTACGACATAGAACACGATGAATTCTGGGGAATCGGAGAACCCAAACTTAGACTTAAGGAAGAAGATGATACTGTGAATGTAGACGTAGAGATTTGACACTTGAGAAAGTTCATTACTTCACTCAGGCTCAGATTTGTCGCCCGCTCCTCAAATCTGCGATTGTATAATTATTTTCTACTGGAGATAGATAACTGAAAATCAAGTTACAATACGTTATCGCATAGATATCGCATTTGAAGTGGTGGTGAAAATAGCATTAAACGGCCCGGTGCTTGGCTGTAGTGGTGAATAATCTCTGTTACACTTTACCACTCCTATGCACCTCGACCGCATTTTCAGCGATTATGGGAAAACAGGAACTAAGGAGTTCCCTGGTTTCCATTTTATTCCTTGCACAAAGTACATATGGTCCACAAGAACTATAATTAGGCTAGTGGCGGTCACGGATTTTCAGCATCCTAATCTCTCCAGACTTTGCAGGTAGTGTCGAAATTCATTCTTGACCCCAACATTGAAGCGATCAGACAAACAAGACAAATGGGCTTCACTCAATTAGATTTGCGATGTCGGCTCACCCTAATAATAGTTCGCATGTCATTCAGGATTAGGGTACATAATTAAGCCCTTGATTTCTAGGAAAGGTTGGGATGAACCAGAATCAATAAAAATCAATAAAGTAAAAACCTCAATGTCAAAAAGGCAAGCGCACTTTATGTTCACTTATTTAATTAGATGTTGAAACCAGGTGGGAGTGAGAAGTGCTCATCAATGACCTTTTTGCTTACCTCACATCATTCCCACCGTGAGCAAAGGACCCGAATACAGCGGTAACTATCTGAAGAAGGGAGAAAACTCGACTTTCCACAGTCCGCGCCCTGTAAGATTCATGTTCCTCGGTATCCTAGGGATAAAAGACAGTGAAGTAGGGAAGAGAACGTCAAACGTAAGGTTTAGTCCACAGGATTCAGTGTAGAAGTTTATAACGTGTAATATCGAATCTGCCTTCAAGGGGTAGTTCCATTTTAAGCCAGCGTCCCGCGCAATCTTCGTCCAACAGACCAACTAGTTTTTACTACCGAAAACAGAGACAACATTTTGCCTACTCATTAGTAGCAAGGAATATTAAATTCCACAGGTTCACTGTTTTCCGGGTAGCTTCTAACATCAAGAGCAGATAATCTTCCGTAATTTCCATAAAGTCGTGACAGCATGCCAAAAAGTAGTAATCAGCCGATTTGAATGTCATTGGGGCCTCGATGTCAAACCAAAAAGTAAGTTTCGTAATTCTCAGTGCCTTGAGAATGAAGTCGGTTCATGCGTATTTCACTGAGAATTATTTAATTCTACAAGTGAAAGGAAGAAGGCCTTCGCTGCGGAGTTATTTATTAGAAAATGCCAACTGAATAGTTACAGACTATTGGACAGCGAAGTGAAACTCTCACATGCACCTTGTTTACAAAAACTGAACATCCATCTTCTCTTGAACGCGCCTTCCTAAAATTTCCTGGATATTCATTGACTGTTGCTAAAATCCAAGCGAATGCTACAAAGCAACTCCACAAATTCCGCAATAGATCTCACTTTTCAAGAGGCGCAGAGCAGGTTTACGAGAAAATATATTACTCGCATGTCATCCCCATCAGTAGCATCATCGTTACACAAGTATTACAGAGTTCGAATTCACAAAGACAGGCAATCAGAGTAAATATCAGATCCTGCGAGCGGAAAATTGTAAATGCCAAATTTTTAGATCTTGTCTGTATGGTCCCGTACCGTTTTCCCGAAGCTGTGAAATCTGATCAGGGTCCACTTTTCAGTAAGAAAGTTTAATACTTTTTTCGGACAGAGTCTCTATACCCTTGTCTAACGTTGAACTACGCGATACCGATCATCACCAATTAGTCGCTTGATCAAACCCACATTAGGCACACACAGCATAATACGTGTTCGCCTCCGGTTCACTTTTTGACTGAATTTATTGCAGAATTGGGACAGAACACAGGCCAGCTTGCCAATAGGTTCCACAGGTGGCTTTCAAGGTCGGGTAGGGACACGGACACTTCCAACCAATCAACATACTAATATGCAACGGAAGATGTTGGATTGGTCAAGCTTTTATGAAAATGAGGGTTGACGTTACAACGAGAAAACAAACCATGCTATTCATTTGAGTTCCTCCAGACTCAGCGCTTTCTTGTTGCTCGTTTGACGGAATTGCATCCTTTTTCGGCAGCGAGTTTTCCACCGATACTGCTTCTATTTCGAGAACTACAGGAAAGAAAAATAAACCCGCATTAATCTATGCTACTTTCAAACGGAGATTATGGTTTTGAAAATAAATTACTGCCGAATATCCGGCAGTACAAGGCTTTTTATTCATTCGATAAGACAGTTTAGAATTGGAGAAATAGGTGTCCGAAAAGTGTCGGACACCTGACTGGAGTAACGACAAATGATCTTTACTTGCCTTAACTGTTTGAATCAAACGCATCAAGCAAGGTTACTCGAGGACTGCGTCTACCTGATCATCCACAAGAAGGGTGAAATCGGTTGTGGACTGTCAAAGCATTTTTAGCAATCTTGTGAGTAGTTTCCTTAATGAAGGTTACATACTACTTGATTAGAGCGCTAAATTGAGTGAAACCGGGACACACAACTGGAATGACTTTTCCTTGGATAACTATACCAGAGCGAATTGCTATTACAAGCAGGGGATTCGGCACAGCATCATTTCAGGTCCTATACCGTCATCCGGTTTGCTAAGATAATTAGCTAGCTATGCACTTCCTGTTGACTTTTCCTATCTACCTGTTTTGTTCTCTTTGATTTATATGAAAAGCAGCGAGACCACATTGTTCGAGGAACAAGTGCAGCCAACTGGTCACATGTGGCACAACGTGCTGTCGAAAACAAGCCAACAATAAGAGGAATAGCCTTCGTATGATGTAAAAAATATGTCGAAAATGCTCAGTCGTAGTTACACATTTGATAAAACCGGACTGAATCGCCAAACGCTTTTCACCTTTAAATCGTCGAAATGATTTCTGAACGTATTCTAAAAGTAAGTAAAGGTTTATTGGTCACACGCCTGAAAGTGGAGGCCGGAGTATGCTCAGTCATGAGTTGTTTGCAATGATATTCCGTCAGATTTTCAATCCCGCACGATATCAGGAACATTTGAGGGTGAAATAATCCGTCCTACCTATGCAAGCGCACTTCAGGATTTTTGGACAAGAAGGCGCATGATCCACAGATTTACTTTCGAAAAAATCATTTGGAAAGTTCAGCGTCTCCATTGTGTTTCCAGGATTCTGTAAACTTTATATCAGTAATCGTTAGCACCGTCACAGTAGCAGATCAGCACTTTATGACGTCTTTCCCCTTTGAAGAAAATCCTCTAAAAACCTGAGTCGTTCGTCTGGAGTAGCAGACACACAACTGATCTTTTATCGAGGGTTTGTGCTCCGCATACTTTGGAGAGCTACTAGCCTCGTTTGAAAACTGCGCTTCCTGACGTTCCGCTTACTTTTCATTGCATGTGTCGTATCAGACATGTGACCACTCACTTGCAAAGAAAGTTCAGTTGTCATGCTAGGTGTGCAGTACCGTGTTTGTGAACCGTCTGATCACAGCTAAACAGAAAACCACCGTGACAAACGGTGTTTGCGTTCCTTTATTTCTGGAAATTAAACCCTTTAGGGAGAAGTGGAGCTGATATTTCCAAGACTTGCGAATCCGCTAAGCAAGTTAGCAGGATGAGCAGTAAGCTGAGGTTTCGCAGAGGGAGGTCGATATCCGAGAAGGTGGGTAGATTGAGGGTGCCAAGGGATAAACGGTGGTTTTGAGCCCCAACGAATGACAACAATCATTTTAAAGTAATCAGTGATTTAATCCATAGTCCAATATAAGTTCCACTGTGGATACCCATTAGGTCACAGATCAGTACCAATAAGAATCAACCGCATGAGATCAAACGGTTTCAAGGAACATTTTTAGCCGAAATAGACAGACTGACTGATTGATTGATTGATTGATTGATTGATTGATTGATTGATTGATTGATTGATTGATTGATTGATTGATTGATTGATTGATTGATTGATTGATTGATTGATTGATTGATTGATTGATTGATTGATTGATTGATTGATTGATTGATTGATTGATTGATTGATTGATTGATTGATTGATTGATTGATTGATTGATTGATTGATTGATTGATTGATTGATTGATTGATTGATTGATTGATTGATTGATTGATTGATTGATTGATTGATTGATTGATTGATTGATTGATTGATTGATTGATTGATTGATTGATTGATTGATTGATTGATTGATTGATTGATTGATTGATTGATTGATTGATTGATTGATTGATTGATTGATTGATTGATTGATTGATTGATTGATTGATTGATTGATTGATTGATTGATTGATTGATTGATTGATTGATTGATTGATTGATTGATTGATTGATTGATTGATTGATTGATTGATTGATTGATTGATTGATTGATTGATTGATTGATTGATTGATTGATTGATTGATTGATTGATTGATTGATTGATTGATTGATTGATTGATTGATTGATTGATTGATTGATTGATTGATTGATTGATTGATTGATTGATTGATTGATTGATTGATTGATTGATTGATTGATTGATTGATTGATTGATTGATTGATTGATTGATTGATTGATTGATTGATTGATTGATTGATTGATTGATTGATTGATTGATTGATTGATTGATTGATTGATTGATTGATTGATTGATTGAATGTTTGATTGATTGATTGAATGATTGATTGATTGATTGGTTGATGCTGTTCCTCCATTGTTGAAATGGTTTTTGTAGGCATGCCGTCATGATGAACTGAACTGTTCTATCCAATTTCGGATTTTGTTTAATTGATTCAGTTCGCTCTTCCGGTGGTTTCGCAGAAGGTTATTTTCATTTTGGACTTGATGAAGGGTGCTGAAAGGACTACTCTGTCGTTCCTCATGTTTGGAGTTTCCTTATGGGTGACAGGAGGAACTCTGAAGGAAATTTTGCTTCGTAATCAAACGCGCTCCCCGCTTAAAAAGTGAATTGATCTGAATTGGTTTATTGCCATTTTTTCCTCAGATTCCCTGGGGAAAATCCTTGGTCGACGTCCCAGACAATCATTTAACCGAAAAAATCATTTTACTATTGAATTCATGAAACATCAAGTTATTATACTGTTTATCCCGTTAATTATGATTTCACTGCAATTTTTCCGCTATTCGTAAAGAATAATAAGCCATCTTTCCAATGAAGCTCATGAGCTTATGAACCGACTTTCCTCACCAGTTGCTTGAAATACATTTAAACTTTGTACTTGTATGGCAGTGCAGAATCACTTTCGAAGGTGATGTTGCCGATGAAGATGATAGTGGTGATGATGATGTGACCACTCGGTCCAGAGTCACTGGAGGCCAGCAATTGTTCAGACTCCATTCCTCCAACATTGGTCGCTCTAGAGTGAATGCGTTCGATTGATTCTGTAGGTAGTTACTTTACAGAATTCCCCTACACAGTAAAGTAATTTGGTGTCAAATTTGTCGTGTTCTCTCAATCGTATCTGCATTTTTGGAAATGTGTTGAACTTATAGGGTGAGCGTCAAGAATTGCCGGACATTACTGCCTAAAGTAACGGTCAACTAAAATTCTTGTATCAATAAATCAATCGGAGCAACTTCGGATGTACTTCTGGTGGAGCTAGAAAAAGTCAGATGCCTTCCGCCAAATCTCCACTTTGGCTTACATACCACAGAACAACTGTGAAGTTGAGATTCTGGTGTACTGCTCAACCAATTGAAAATCACCCACATTCCAGTTGTCAAGAGTCATGATTCATTCACCAACAGAAAAAATCATGAATTTAGCTGGGTAGACATCTACCGAAATTCTGGAGCTTCCCCATAGTAGGGCCTCTTGATTTCGTCTCTAAACAGTTTGAACTCTCCTTAAAACGCATCAGTACTGATGGATATTAATGTGCGTTGTTACGGGCGGTAAATTCTGAAACAGAAGTATAATTTACGTTAAAGTTTAACATCAAAGCCAAATAAGTACTATTGAACGTACAATACAGATTATAGAAAATGGTTAAGTCATGATAAAATTAAACTCCGGTGTAGGACTTTTCACCTTTTGGTACGGAAACTTCGGTTGCCCCTGGAAACGATGGGAAAGGTCTGGTCGGGTGCAGTTTCTTCACAGGCCATCGTGGTTTTTGCTCGGACTTTTGTTGCTTTCCTGTCTCATCTGATGAGTCTAGAACATGTGTGCTTTCTTCTTGTCTAGTGTTCGTTTCCACCTCAATGTCCGGCATCTTGTCATTTTGTTTATCGTAACTCGGTGGCAGCTGTTCTGATGGCATACTGTGATCGGCCTCCAACGAGCTCGTAGCAACCTTCTCTATTTGATTTGACGGGACTTCAGCTCCGGGTGAGCTAGTACTGTAACTGTGTGAGACGATGAGGACTCGAGTGGGACGAAGTTTAGACCAGGTTGTTTTCCATATTGGAATTGGCCCCGAATCAGCTAATAAGGGCGATAGTGATACTGTGCGTTAAATTCCGAGGATGTAGGATGTACCATTCTTTAGACGAGAATAATTATGTTTAGGCATACCGTGCAACAACCATGAATAACAAAGTGACATCACATTGAACCAAATACGAAACTGGGATGTATAATGACAGAAAACTTTGCTCTTTGCCACCAAAATCAATTCTATGAAACATGGGCATATGACTGATGACTGAAAGGCCAGGGCTCTTACTCAGAACAAACATTAGTTAGTTGTCATGGCGCCTATGAAGATGGAAGTTGTTCGACCTATCCCATGTCTTTATTGCACTGTGTTTAGTTGGAATTAGATCTGAGAAAGAAGGATAAACTAAACATTCCTCTCTTTCCGACTCTATCGGACTGATCGCATCTCCTGAAAATCATTCCAAAAGTCTAAAGTCATTTTAGAGGTTTCTAAAACGGTTGAAACAAATATGTGCCTGTTTTTTTCAAGTTACCCAAACTACTGAAAAAATGGGATAGAACCCAGCCACTGAAAATCCTAACTGGAATTTTCGCACTCACCAAGAATAGAAGTGAGAAAAACTTGGTAAAACCTATTTTTGTGGCGCTGATATCCCATGCATGTGGTGTCAAAGCTAGTTTTCCGACTTTTAAAACGACAGAATACGCCAACATCCCACGGGGAATTAATCATGCTTTATCTAATTTTCCACAATAGAACAGCGAAAAAGTTTGGCATGAAACGATCGACTCTAAAGACCTTTGGCACCTGTCCAGCCGGAAATTCTAATTATTGTTTGGAAGTACCGAACACATCAAATCAACGGAACGGGTTCCGGAGAAAACCCGGTTGACTTTTCCGATAAAATTAGTCAGTCAGTGATGGGACGTCACAAAAATACGAATGTGTTAAAATACTACGTATAATGAAGTAGCTCTGAAGGTTCAAAATAACATGTACAGCAATGTCGGAAGTTTCGATGTCCGGAGATTTGCAAGTACGGAAATTCATGTTTATCTCGTTATAAAAGTTTTCCCGTGTACTATCAGCTTATCCTAGGGTTTTGCGCGTCACCCCAATACTAGTACCTTTCCGTTGTATTTTCCTAGCTCAGTGGTAAGAGCGCCGTTTCACTGGCCGGAAGGTTCGTGGTTCGACCCCGATATCTGCCACTCGACTTCCTCGGTCAAGGCTTGGGGAACCTGTCATCATCCAAGCCCTGTGCTTCTTTCGGATGGCATGACACATAATCACCGAAAGGGTGCTGCAGCTGAACGATACAATTTTTTCCAAGCCATACAAAGAGTGGCGAAGTAGTTCTAGAATTTGGAGTATACAATGCAAAGTCTGTTAATGTCTGTTCTGTAGCCTTTCTCTTGAGCACACAGATAAACCAATATGCCACCTGCGTCAGAGTAAGCGCTGGTTAGAGTTCATATCTTGGCACCGGTTTGTTTTCTCAGGGCTAATGATCCATCAGAGCCACTTCAGGGATATGAGCTTCTCATTACTTGTCAGAAGGAAGTTAGGCGATAAGGTGTGAAAATTTCAATACCTCACAGCCAGAAGAAAGCCTCTATTCTTATAAACTGGAAAAAGATGTTTATTGATCGGTAAAAATTGATCTGTTAGCATTACTCTGCGAAACGACTTTAAGCGATATTGCCACTCCGAAAACCCCACGCCTCTCTCCGTCCGACAACCGCCATGAACTCACCTAATGACTGTTGCACTATAACGGGATGCGGTGTAAAGTATCGTCAATAATGTTGAGTGAGGCATCTATGGCGTTCGTTTTATATTATTGGTATAATTTTTCGGTCGCGAGGAGTTGGAATAGGTCCCCATGGCTGCCGATCGACGTACCTTAACTAATCAACCTCTAGAACCATCCCAGTAAATGTGCCTACATTTGGATCACAGGCAAACAAGTCACATCTCCTCACAAGCCTACGACTACTCCTTAGTAGGCCAAATAGGCCGGCAAGGCGACACGGTGGTCGCTGGAGCTTTTCAAATGAGGAAGACAAAAGCGAGACAGGTCCGATCATCCAAGGGCCTGTCTGTGCGCGGAAGGCCACAACAAGCCGTCGAGGCATCGACGCGGATTTCATGGCCTGATCTTTAGAGCCCAAATTGAAATCGCACAGGTTAACGACAAGGCAACTTGATGATACGTACAAACCATTCACCCAAATTAGATAATGATTCGACTGGACGGTAAAAACCAGGTTACTAACAGTGTCACCATAACTCAAGTATCATTCAATTACAATTGCGAGGCATAATAAACTCGGAGCAGTCTGGAGGTCTGAGCGCTATCAATTTAGTTTGATATGTTAATTATTGCGAGAGTTTGAGGCCTTTCTTCTACAGAAAAAGCACTGTGAATGCGACATCAGTTGACTGGATGAAAACAAAAGTGATTTAGTCTGTCAGAGTGCTCCACGGATTCTTCGATAGGAAGTAGTGCGACATTGCCATCAATGTCATATATTACGATAAACTCACAGAGATTCATTGAAAAGTGTTTGAAATTTCACTAATCTAAATCTATAAGGATTTGGAGTCCGAATCACTGTCACTGGCCATAATAATGTGACTACCCGCAACTCAAACCGCCGCAGCAATCGTCCCTACGCAAACTCCGAACACTCCATTTGATCTCCAGAACACAAGAGAGAAGCATGGCGCAGAGTTATGGCACAGATATTCAAATTTCACACAACCATCGTTGCTTTGCATTACCGGGTCACTGGATTTCCCTAGCCACTTTAAAAAACCATTTAATGGATGAATGCAACACAGTAGCAGCCAAGGAAGCCTAAATCCTCAGCGGCAGAGTGACATCCAATCCAGGGATGGATCACATCGCTTTCGATTGTGGTCCGCGATCATTGATTGAAGCAGACAGATGCCAGAATTGGCAAGCCTAATGGAGAGGCCCACTGAATGTTTTAGACAGAGTATGATACGTGGAACACCCGCCTGCAAACTTGGTACCGAGACGAAGTATAAGCCCTGTGGTGACAGCTATAAGCTCTTGGAGCAGCGGTGAAAATCCAGGTGGAAACCATTTAACATATGAAGTACGTAAACTATTCTTGGCCTCAATAAAGACTGTTGGGTCCGCGCCACTTCTGTTGCCTAGGACAGTTATCTTTTCACAGACATGACAATACAAATCTTTGGGGGAAAAGTACACATCCTGGATGAGAACATTAGGGATTCGTTTTCACTAACCAGTGTACTACTTTATGAAACATGCAGTTGTTCCAAATCGGTTATTTTACTAAAGTCATTCCCAGTGCACATTTGGTACACGAATTGTAGGCGGTGGTTTGGGCGAAGCGTACTTTGTAAAATACGCCAGGCGATGGACTACAAAATCCCTCTCTCTCTCTCTATCTGGGGATTTCGTCACCATGACAACTCATCATGATCGAACAGTTGAGTGTTCAAGCTGCTAGCCGGAAGAAAAGACTCTGAAGTTTCGTGAGATATGCACTAATGATGACTCCCGATAAGGATGAAACAGCTGTACACAGGGTTTGTCGGCCTCTCACTTGCACGACGAAACCTCCGTTAACTCGTAAGTTTGTTCAGGTTAGCCCAAATTACTTAGCCGGTGGAAGAAATGCAAAAGAGATATCAGAATGAATAGGATGGAGAACAAAGCTTGGTCTCTGTCATTGTCTATAACAGGAAGTCAGATTCTTGGTTAACGTGTTTGTTATGAATGACTCTCTACATGGCTTTATAGCAAAACAAAAAAATCACAGCCGGCTAAACTGAGACTCATAAAACATCTTGTAGAGCAGAAACAGGTCCACCTCAATCTTTCATTTGGGGAAAATTTCACTTTTTGTTTTGCTAACCTGGAGACAGAGAGCCATGACTGACCTCACCAATAAAACCACTGATCTATGCTTGAGTTTTTGTTTCACCCTCACAATCAGTTTCCAGCTGAAAGCCAAGGTGTCAAAGTTCTATCACAAACTTCTGCGTACACTTGTATGCTCATGCCAATTATCATTTTTCGAACGTCGATAAGTTGCTTGTCAGACAGAATACGGTTGCGCGTGATAAAGCTGCAATGGGGAGTGAAACAAGTTGTATCAATTGCCATCACATTATATCTCGCTAAGACTGAATATTCTACAGACAATGAGATGCATCTCGAACCACCTAACGGGGAAGAACAATTGAAGCCGGGTTGGAATCCTGTTACGTAGTCCACGGCTGTGTGTTTAGAAGAAACAATACCAGTTAGGAACTTGAATTGATTATTAGTCAACCCAGCTGCGTCCTCACAGTTGACGATGACAAATATGTTAACATCTTTATCTGTAAAGTCCCACACGTACCACAGAACGCAAGTGACTGCTGTACATCTTCGTATACATTGACAATTTCTTGATCTGATGAAAACCATAGAAGCCAAATTGTTTATTGAAATGCAGCCATGGGGGGAGTTCACTTAAACTGTCTTCTTGGTGTTGTCGATTTTCATGAGACTGTATGAGCATAACGTGACTGTTCACAACTCCTGATGCAACTCCACTAAAACAAACTGTATTTGGTAGATGATTACTTATTTCTAGTTCTTGAAGTATGAATCTAGAGTTGCAGCACATTTCTATCGAGTAATAAAACGTTCTAGGGAGAATTGCTGTCAATTTTGAAATGAAGGGGTAAAATTCGCAAAAAGGGTTTACTTACCACTGCTCTTGTGCGAAAAAGAGAACATTTTCTGCATGTAATAAGAACTTACCCAAAACGCGGCGTCGCAAGCGAGGCACCAGGATGAACTTTATGCAGATTGCAGCAATCACGCCACAGCCGCAACTAAGAATAAACACCCCGTACAATGGGATGCGATCGAAATGCAACACTGTTGAGTAGAAGGTAAGAGAATATCGATTATGCGTCGCTTTCATGCCATTTGTAGTTTCGGGCAGAAAAATGAACGATAAAAGTGAATATGAGATTCATATAGGACGTCGGTAGGCATCTCAGTGAGGGATAAAGTGGGCGGAAACTGCTGGAAAAAGAATAAATAGAAACTTGCCAATAGTATTTATCAGGAAGGTCAGGTTCCTGAGGGTAAACCCAGGACGCCCGGAACCTGCTGCTCCAACAAAATCTCAATGGGAGAGCCGGAAAGCATCCAGACCAGTCAATCATTCAAACAATCCAGCAAAAGCTGATGTGTGTTCAGGCACGCCACAGAAGCGCGACCGAAAGTGATCAGCGTTTAGGCATTTCATTGAAGCACGATGGATGTTGATGGGCTTTCACTAAACGTTTTTCGGACAGTCTGGACGTTGTAACTTTTGCACTTGCATGCACTCGTCTGTTTGGAATAAAGCTGTTGTGTGCCCTTGTCAGTGAGTTCTTTTCTCGCACCGGACACCAGAGTAGAAATAGCAGTTACATATAACAGTTCTGTTCCTGGAAGATGACGACTTTAGCTGATAGATGGATCCATCAGAACTTTCTGCTGTACAGCAAATGTTTGGAAACTTTTCGATCGCATGAATTCATTTTTTGGTGGGGAAAGCTATTATCCTAAATAAAAGGCATCCTACCTAAGCTTGCATACAGGTTTCAGAGTACCAGCTTCTTACTGTGCACACACCAGGCTATTGTAAATTTTGCACAAATGATTATGGTATTTCTTACATTTTCAAGATTTATTGAACTCCGTATAGTCAGCTTTTTTGGTATAGCAAAGTACTTCCCCAATGAAGTATTTTGTCTTCTGAATGTTTATTCACTAAAAGCTATATTGGTGACTAAAATGGCCAAAAGCTGGTGTTAAAATTATCGAATCACATATATTCTCACAGATCATCACTAGTTGGCGGTTTGCGAAGACCTTGATTCGGAAGCAGCTCAACTAACAAAACGTCTATTACGTTTGGTCTCCGCGAAGCTGTCAGATAGCAATCAGAGGTCTTGTCACACACTACTGTTTACAAACTGCTCGGGTGAGTTAATTTGTTCCAATAATGTTGGAGCTTAAGAAGAGTAAGTGGTTAAGGTTCACAACGAAATCGACCAATTAACACTTTAACTGAGTGAGTGAAATGACTTTGTAACTGAGTAATGTCTCCTTGTTGATTTGACTGTTGTGACATTGGTTGAGATCGCCTCTGCTAATCCAACCTTGCAGAGGGGGTGAACATGACTAAGAGCCGTTGAGACCCTCCCATCTTTCCCTTCCATCCAGAAAGAGCTTCAGCAAACACAAACAGACGGGACATTGGACCGCTATACATAAAAACATGGTCAGTTCAACGTGCTGATTCGAATGCATTAATTACAGATTTTGACATTTGATATTTGATACCATGGTGTATTCAGGATACACGTAATGTGTTTCTAAGATACTCACGATCTTGTGGCCTCTTACGATGAATTAACCGAAAAGAAGAGGCTATCAGATAACCATGAAACTTGGTAATGCTGAGATGTATCAAGCGGTTTCTCATCTCTTATTCCCTCTTTCGATCACATAAGCCTTCATTTATCCCTCAAAGCGTTTCCGTCTTTCTTACACTCAGTGTATCCTCTGAATCTACTGCGTTGTTGGAGTCGGGAAGCTGAACGCTTTAATGCCCAGCAACCTTTCCCTATTTGGCACATGAAGTAGTCACTGACCCCTAATTTTGTGCCAGATACTAGTGAAAGGAAGAAGGTCTTCGCTGCGGAGATAGTTATTAGGAAATGCTAACTGACCGGTTACAGACCATTGAACATGGTAGCAAAACTCTAATTTGCATGTTATTTACAAAAACTGGACACATCTTCTCTCGAACGCGTCTTCTTGAACTTTCTTGGAGATTCATTGACTCCAATCATTCCTAGCTCAAATCCAAGCAAATGTTACGCAACAGATCTCCTCTTTTCAAAAGACGCAAAGCAAAATTCCACGAACTACACATACTACTCGCGTGCCTCCCCATCAGTGGTATCATCGTCACACTAGTAACGCAGTTGGTGATCGTAATAAGCAAAGTCGACAACAACAAATCCTCCTATTTGATAATTTCCCCTTATCCTATTGAAGGTTTACTTGAGTGAACGAATTTTCAATAAGCAGTCAACTAGTCTTCACATCTGCTTTACGGCAATATTTGAGACCATCCCCATCCGTTTCGGAAAATCCCCGGCATACTTTGATAACTCTGACAACCTCAAAGTGGAGGAAGTGCCAAAGAACGGCATCCTCTTAGTCTGTAAAGAACTGGTTTGAACCCGAAATGCAAAGGAAAGATGTATTTAAAATAAATCGTTTTGGTAGGGCACGTTTTCCGGCAATGGGTTGTTTTCTTGCCAAAGGATGTCTTTTTTCAACCGTACTGTGTTGGTTTAATTTTCTGTCTGTTGCTAGATAAAGTAATGGTTCTGTAACTAATGGCTTGGGGTTAGCAGTGATGCAGTCCTAATGACAGTGAACCGTACAGAAAACGAATCTTTTTCAGTAGTGATTTTTCACATATATATATATATATATATATATATATATATATATATATATATATTGCCGTGTTCTGTCCATCCAATTAGGACTGGATAATGCATATTGAAAAGTTCTGTATCCTCGTTTGTGATAATAAAAGCCGAAATCCAGAACATAGATACTTGAGAACCACAGAGTGGGATTCACCCGGAACATGTGGCACAATGGCCAAGTCCAAATGAAACTTAATTCATATTCAAGTATTTCTGGTGTCTTGGTTTGTATGTCTTCCATGCCCTTCAGACCGTTTGAGCTTCCAGGTACAGTTTTTTACGACGGTCACTTTCCTATACCAGGTGTATTCATGAGTTGCAGCTCACATTACGGACCGTAAGTACGCTACATTAATCCATTTAACCCCGGAACAGCCTGGGTACCGGTACTGTGAAGTAAGTCAACGACTTTATCGAAATATCAAACTGAATTGTATAGGTCCAGTGAGACAATATTATTAAAATTTTCATGACTTTGTGGATAAACACACCTAATTTTATGGCTTGGCTCTAGTAACAAAGACTTCTAGTTTTGTTGGAGTGAAAAATGAATTCACAACTATTTTCAGTCTATGGCATGCAGCTGCTGTTCACTGTATCTCTGGTGACCTGAAGTTATATCCTTCGTTGGACATATTTTCGGCGGTGGTAGACGTGTAAACAATCCGGCCTTAGGTGGTTCGACGGAGACCGGAAACACATCACGGTGTCTTGCTAGACATACTAAGCGAATATCAGTACACTCATCAATCAGAACAATCAAACCAACTTGGTCGGAATGGGTTACCAGCGGTCCGAGTAAACGAAAGCTAGTAAACAGGGCTTAGACGCCATACAACGATAAATTGGTCTTTCTTAGTTTGATTCCTATTAGTTCAGCTGTTTATCTTACAACGAATGGATCTGAGTGGTAAACACATTTTTTCAGCTTATCGCAGACAAGCGCAATCGAGCTGGAATGAAGTCAGGTAAAAACCTACTACGACAAACTTCCAACGAACCGAACTTGCTCTAAGTGGATCCTAAACAGTCCGCAGCAATGATTCTCACGGGCGGTGATGTCGTCATTTATAGGGATGAGAGTAAATGTAAGGGACGACAAAGCAAAACCGAATCGTGTTAGGTGATTAAGGGCAATGTAGCTGCCAAATATCGTGATTGTTTGTGGATTCTTACGAACAGTCATTATCGCGCCTCCAGCTCTCTTGGATCTGCGTAGTAGGTCGTGAGTGTGGGTGGAAAATGTGATCTGAACTAGTTCATTGCTTGCGATCTTGCTAGCATACGCTGTCGTACACTCGGTAGTTAGTGTTGACATGCTAGATAGGCAGAGTGTAGTGCATCAGGATATTTACTTAACTGGGTGAACTGTTGCGGTGCGGATGATCAGTTGCTCCTGGAGGACTAGTGTACAAATGCGCCCACTGCAGAATCAGCACGGTCCTGACCACTGCTTGCAGTCATGGGAAGAATGATGGCGCATATTTGAGAGGTAGACACTTGAGTACAACCCCTTGCATTTTGAGTCTGAGTTCTAATACCTGTCAGCAGAAGTTACACCCATTATATGATTTTCGGTCGTCCATTAAGCTTCCGATGTTGAGTGATTCAATGTTGGTGTTGTAAGCACATTTCAGTCGAGAGGTTCATATTGTTATTAAAGAGGCGCGGTCAAGATGTGTAAGATTCGGACTTCCATCAGCTAAAACGCATCAAACAACTCTCTCGTGGCCACTTTTGATCATTTCTGTCACAAACTCTTTTTTTTGAATAAAGGAATTACCGCCTTGGTAACAACAGTACGATTAATATCCTAACCGTAGACTTCTACGCTACTGACCTAATTAGCTATCCTGTATATGGAGGTAAATATACACTCCCACAGGATGCATCACTATAAATAGATGTCAGGTATCAGCGCGATCAAAGTCTGAAGAGATCTAAGTGGGTCATTGGAGTTGTTGTTCGTTTTACAAATGCTGATAAACGTATATTACTCTCACAGTTCGTTGACGCGGCCTACGCGGTATATTCTGAAAGCTACACAGTGACCTGTGGTTAGAAATTGATTCAAGTGTTTTATCATTCCTGTGGTCCATTTAAGCTCACCTATGGAACGATTTTAAAAAAATCAATTAAAAATTTTCAGGCACAATATGGGCTATTATCGGACCAGACCTACTTAATGAATTACTTGAGGCGGAACCTATGATGGAGTGTCATCTACCTTATTACTAGTATGGAAACTAGACAGTATGTGTGCGGATCCGTCTGTCATCAGAAAGAGGCCCCTTTATCAAGAGCTGTATATCTTTGTTCCGTTATTTAACTTAGCTAGTTTCGAAAGATCTGGAGGTACTCACAGAACTTGCA